AGGAACATAACACTGTCGAAGTAGCCTAGAAGCGAAAATAAAGCATCTAATCTCTCTAGTGCCTATTTAAATAATAAAATATTAATACTTGGCATTTTTGAATTTTACAATAAAAAAAAAATCTTAAAAAAGACCTATGAATTATTTAAGAATTACACGAGGAACATAACACTGTCGAAAGTAGCCTAGAAGCGAAAATAAGCATCTAGAGAGAGTAAGGTTATCCGTTGAAACGGCCCGAAACGCTCCATTTTAGCCGGACTTTGAAAGATAGTTAATAGGAGTACATGATATATAAGAGTTCGTTCAAATATCAGCAGGGCAGAGGTGTGTTTCAGTGTTGCTAGACGCTTTTTCTCGCGCATGCGCAACGCTGCGGCTATGAATCCAGCGGTGTATACCGCTTATAGTGTTGGGTGCTGGCGCGAAAAGTTAGACGTTTGATAGGCTACAGGAGAAGTTAGGTGAGTACATGTAAAAAATGATAATATTTATATCATATATATATTTCTATGTATTTTTTGTTACGCGAAATATGGATAGTTCAAAAGGAGCCATTAAAAAGACGCATATTAAAAATTTTCAAAATTCTTGGTTAGCTGACGATTTATTTAAAGGATGGCTGGCTCCTCATCCTACGGAAAATAAGGCAATTTGTAACTTGTGCAATATTACCATTAGATGCTGTAAATCAGATTTAATACGACATTCACAAAGGGCTAAACATATTAAAAATTGTGACAGTAATTCTCAAATAAGTCAAAGCCAAAGCCAACATTCCAAAAATTCTCATATTGAAAACGTTAAACGAGCCAAAATTAAATTAGCATTTTTTATTCTGAACATAACGTTGCTCTTTATACCGCAGATCACTTAGTTCCTTTGTTAAAAGACATTTGTATAGATTCTTCAATCGTGCAAGATCTTTCACTGGCTCGATCAAAGTGCACCAATATTATTAAAGAAGTTCTTGCAAAGCGGGAAAATAATTCTGCCAAATAAAATATTTTATTGTTATTAAAATGTTATTAACAATTATTTAAACATCCTTTCCTTTTTTAGCTTATTTTTTATTAATATTATTAATTATTTTATTATTATAAAAATAAACATAATATTTACATGCGTTTAATTTATTATTATTTTATTACTTTTTATCACTTTTTAACGATAAACAAAATTTTCTAATAATTTTTTAATAGAAAGGTCTACAAGTGCCCTCTTTTTTCCTCAATTAGTACACCGTTGAGGCCGATTCTCAAGTGCGTTCGTGAAAAAAAGCGTCTCGTCTAGCAACACTGAGTACAGTCACGACTGAAGTCGGCACTTCGATTCGAGATCTAGAGACTTCCAGTTAAGGTGCATATGGACAAATCTGCAAAACTGTATAACGCATGTTCACAGAAAATCAACCAATCACGTGTTTAAGATGCAGAATGTAACACTAAGGCGCATTTTACATTAGACATATGATTGGTCGGTTTTTTAATTTACATTTTTATATGATTATATAAATCTAGCTGAATAAGCCTTCATATTTAGCTCATTTGCTATCATATGCAGATGATTTCGGGTGATTTGCAAATGGTAAAATAATCTTGATCATTCAACTCGATTATTCGGAATTATTTTGTCAGTGTTATCAGTGATACGTGATACAACATATTCGTCATGGGAAGCACGGATACCACAACGAAGCTGCTGAATGATAACTACGAGATAGAAGAGTATGGTACAAATCTGAAGATTCTGCCATGCAACAACCAGGTGAAAGAGTTGCAAACCATTTTGCGAGATAAGTAAGTATAGCGATGCTATATTTCAAGAAACAATCATTTACGCTTTAAAACATAACCAAAAGTAAAATATATCTCAACTTTGTTTTAATTCTAATGTTTCTCAAAAAGGATTGTAGATATTTTTTCTTATTAAACTTTTTTACATGCATTAGATTAAAGATTCTGTAGATTGATAGATTATTAAAAATAGCAGTAATCTTAATAGGCATACCTCATTTTATAGGAATACCACAAGGAGTGATTTCAAGTTTTATGCTGATCGTTTGGTAAGATATGTTTTATTTTATATTATTTAATAGATGTTCAGGAAAAAGTATATTGATTGCTAGTTACGTTCTAATTAGATTTATATTTACTTTCTGTTTATGAAAAACGGAAGTTATCATGATTTTCTTTAAAATGTTGTAGATCAGGTTAGTTATTGAAGAGAGTTTGAATCAATTACCTTTTACAAAATGTATAGTAACAACTCCAACTGGTGCCAAATACAAAGGTTTAAAGTATCAGAAAGGAAATTGTGGTGTATCTATAGTAAGAAGTGGAGAGGCTATGGAACAGGTATTAATTTAAATTAATACTCATAATATATCGTGATCGTGTAAATAATTTTTTAGGTGAACAGGTTTATTAATTTTTATGGAATATTTTTGTAGGGTCTCAGAGATTGTTGTCGTAGTATCAGAATTGGTAAGATATTAGTAGAAAGTGATGCAGACACGCATGAAGCTAAAGTAGTTTATGCAAAATTTCCTGATGATATATCTGAGAGAAAAGTCTTGTTAATGTATCCAATAATGAGTAAGTCTTTGAGAACATTTGTATTCTAATAATAAAGTATTTGGCACTGAGTAGAAATAATTATAATATATTTTATATTTACTGTGCACATAGGTACAGGAAATACTGTTATAAAAGCCATAGCTGTGCTGAAAGAACACAATGTGCTTGAAGAAAATATTATTTTATCAAATCTGTTTTGTACACCAATTGCAGCCAAATCTCTAGTCACTGCCTTTCCTAAGGTTCTTATATACTGCATTTGCATGATATTAATATACAATTAAACATATTTAGTAGATAATATATATTTTATTTTTTAAATAAAACTCTTATTTCTCTTTACAGATGAAGATTTTAACGTCAGAGATCCATACTGTTGCGCCAAATCATTTTGGACAAAAATACTTTGGTACGGATTAATTACATTTCACTACTGCATAATATGTTAGGAGACAAATATAATGCATAATGAAATCAAGAGAAAATCAATTAAGAATGTTTACATGCTAAATAATTAAATTAATTAAAAAATATTTTGTATTACGTTTAATAATGATTCAAGTATTGTCAAAACAGTCACTATACATTTATCTTTTAAATAAAAGAATTTTACTGCCATTATTTTTAGATTAGCTCAGTATAAGTAAATCTTGATTATATTATCTTTGTAGCATGCAAAGATATTAGCTTTGAAAGTTTTATAACTTTCGATGGAATTTATGAAGACAGTACTTGGTGCCAAAAAAATTACAAAAATGAAATGGTAATAGAATGGATTGTGTAATACATCAAAATTATAAATGTAATACATAATATAAATTTTGAATTATAAATTTATTTCGAGCGCCAAATCTACTAACAGTAAGCATTCTTTTGATTTTCTCTATATATGATAAGACTGTAAGTGATATATTTGTTTAAATGCAACTTAAAATTAATTGAATACCGATACAATAACTGATATTTTTACAATGATACCTCTTTGAGTAGATTACAATTTTCATTGAATTTTTCTAATGCTCTTGTGTATTTGCAGTAGACACTGTAGATACATTGTGAGTTTTATGTGTGCTATACCAAGTATTTACATAAAATATAGTGCATTAAAATAGATTAAGTGTCATATACAATAATCTCTATTAGTTCTGGCATTGCATATATACATACATATACACATCTTTTAAATACAGGTACATAAAATCACCGTCCTAGTAAAAAGAAATAAATAATTTGATAGACAAATACTTACGAGCTTGACATTTCGTCTTTTCAAAATTGTCATTTCTTATTTATTATTTCGTAATTTATTCTTAAATTAATTCTAAGTCATTGAATTTATGCCATTAAACTTATTTATATTAAATTTATGTGAAAAATGAGCATCTTAACTGACATTAAGTATTGTGTATGGTGCATATATAATGTCAGGTTTTTTAAGTCCACATTATCATATGTGTATAATATTCCTAGCTAGATATATAAATAGAAAAAAAAGATGACTGTAAGTTAATTACAGCATACATTAATTAAAAAATATTATATATAATATTTTTAAGTTCTTCATATAGCATTATTCTTCTTTTTTTTAGATCTGAATTTCAATTGTACTATACATGAATTTTTATCTATAAATTTTCTATAAATCTCATATATGAGAGATAAGATTAATACGTAATGATGAATCCTAAGTTACATAACAGAGCATAATATTAACAGTACCTGTATAGTTTTCGGGCATTCATTTTATGTACATGGTTGAAATAGCATTAAAAGTTACTGTACAAGTTGATTGAAGTGTTTTTCAAAAAAATGAATACTTTGTTGTATGTTACAATATTGTGTAACATATATTAATGTATGTATTTTATGTGTGAGAATTCAATTTGTTCACATAGCATAAACATAAATATCTACACAAGCATAATATGAAATGTGATTTATTAAAACATACGTATTATACAATACTCTGGAATATATAATATTACAATAATTTAGTTGCAATTAATGCTTGTTTTTTTGAAACTTAGGGAGAGATACTATATATATGTAAAAAAAGAGAAAACTTAGGATTCGAAACTTTTATGTCAATATTTTTTTCTAAATCTAATAATTTCTATTCATTCTTGATGATTGCATTTTATACGTAATTTTTAATGAAATATTTGTATACACTGATATTTGTTATACATTTTAATTAGCACATTTTAGTCGAAATAGGTACAAATGTTATTTACTATAGTTTTACATGGACAAGCCTTATAACATGCTTTGTTTCATATAAAGAGAATGAATGAAAAGAACACATAATATGTGCAATTTATTTATTTAATGCCACTTAATGCCAAACAAATAATTTGACGCGATAAGAGAGATAGTTTTAACTGTTTATTAATGTCAGTTAAGAAAAAAGAATGATATATATACAACAAGGACTAACTATTTTATGTATAACATACACACGTAATCTATGAAATTAAAATACAATTTATGCTCAATAATTAATTGGAGAAACATTATGTAGAACTTTACAAATTTTTTATATGAGCAAAAAGTTTACTTACACACCCGTTAAATGGACTATGCAGCTTTTACATGTAGCAAGTTTTAAATAGAAATATAAAAACAATATATTTGCCTGGTTTTTAATGAGTAAATTTTCTAATTATTATATGTATACATTGGAGTTACTAAACGTTACCAAATTTCAATAGTGCTTGTTTTAAAGAAAAGAAAAATATGTGTCAAAAGTAATAAAATAAAATAAATTCTTGAAATATTTTCATTGCCTAAGACATTCTTATTAAACTATTTGCCTTATAACGTGCCTATGAAAAAGCTGCATTCAATAATTACAGTAACATTACAGTAAGACCAACAATTTATGTGATGTAAATTCCTGTTATTGAAAATGAAATGTCTATATAGCTACTACTGTTTAAATTATAAGTTAAATCGTAGTTTAATTACGTTGGTAATTGTTTAACGTTTTTCGTATTAGCAACAAGTTTGCTTAATAAACAATTGTATTAATGTGTAATACTGATAAATACAGTATATGTGCACAGTGATTCACTTAATATAAAAACTAATATAAATAAAATAAACGCAACTTCAAAAATGGGCTATGTTTTATTTTTATATTTTTTTATATTTTTTTATTATGTTTAGAGAAATTATACATTTTTTAGTACAATCGTGTACCGTTAGATTTTTGTTACCATTATGATAGAATATAGTTTTATCTTAGATTGATAATTGTGCATTAACATATTTTGTAATTTGCTAAATTCATGTATTTATTTCTAATACTTCGAAACTTAATTAAAAAATTTATTTCATCTTTATTACAAGCAATGAAAATCTCTTTTAGAAAGTTAGTTCAAAATTCATTAAAAACTTTATCTATAAAAGATTTTTCAATATGTTTGAATGTTCTGCATATTGCTAAATAATTAGAATTTCTTAATATAATTAGTACACTTTGAAATTTCAATGTACGATAAAAAAACAGTACTTTTATTAATTAAAAATGTAAAGATTCTTCACAAATATTATCATAATTTTTCTTTATAAAAAATTCTGTTCACACAAACAAATACTTTTACATATACTTATTCCAAATGTATATTACAAAAAACATATTGATAATTATTGTTTTCAGGCTGTGCTCGTGTCATATTGGAGATACCAAATGTACAAGCGAAAGATAGTTGAGGAATTACATAGTATTTATATCGTTAAATCTCACACAATTGAATTGATCAAATTTAGTCAACCTAAATAAAAGTATATGTTATAACAATTTGTAGATCACATTACATTGACAACTGTAACGTTTGGGAAAATGTAAAAGAAATATTTTTAGATATTATATGCCAGGAAAAGATATACACAAATTGTAATTATCTGTGTAATGTGTGTGTTATCACAATTATGTACATATTTCAATAATTGACAATAGCCACATACCTATTGAATTCAGTTATAAATCAAACTGAATATCATTCGAGTAATTATAACAAAATTACAGCAAAAAATATAAGTACCAACATTGCCACTACGTAAATAAATTTTTGATTCCCATAATCTAAATTGTCAAAATACTATATTTAATAAATATATCGCATCCGATATCAAAATTTGTGTTTACTGGGATTGTAATCATTTACAAACTTACTGTTATTATTCGTTCATTATTTAAATAAGTAAATAATTATGATAACACACACTTGCAAAATTACAATTATTTTATATATATTTTTGTACTACTTTTGAAAGAAACAGTTTTTATTCATTTGATTATCATATCTATGCTGTATGATGTATTTACCTTTTTGAGCAATGAAGTAGAATTACTCAATTTCCCCAAAACATCTATTAACACCATTTATATATAAGTCTTGTGTAATATTTATTATTTTGTGATAATTAGAAATATATATCTGAGATTTTTTTTTAAGGATATACAAATTGAGTTTTAAACTTTAATCATTGTATTTATTAGTAAATTCTTGTATTTATGTAACAATGATCGCTGCGATCATATATATACATATACATATATAATAATATATAATGAATATTATCTTTGTAAATATTGTTATATCTGATGATTATGTGTATCTCTAATACAATATGTTAAAATTTATTTTAATATTAATGTCCGATCTTTATTGTTACTAAACCTCCCCACCTTTGTGATAAAAAAAGACATGTTGTTAATATGAATAAAGCTTTACCGTTGCTGTCCTACCTCGATTGCGGCAATATATTATATGCAATACACGCAATATCAATCACAGATTTAACATATTTTGAAGAATAGAATTATAATAGCAAAAATAATGTTTTATTTTATTTATTTGTTGTATAACAAAGCAATTTGTAGCGAATGCGTAAAGCTTAATTTTTTATAATAGTATCGTTTAAACAATAGAGAGAAAGATAAGCGATGAAAGATTTAATATTAATCGTCTCGCAACATATTACTTTTTCGCAGCATAATAGAGGAAGAAAGTATTATGATTAAAGTAAGTGGAAGAATAATTTATAGGCCTCTCAATTGTTCCAACTGCCATTACCGTATTATTTTAGAATAAATTATTTTGAAAAACAATAGAGATTACACGAGTAAACTTTTTTTATCGCGTGTTCCGTTTGTTTTGTGTGAACGAAAGATCTCTCATATATTAGCAAAAATTTATTGTGCTTGTCCCAATAGCAGCAGTTGTGAGAATTTTTTTTATAAACTTTTATATATTACAATATAATTTATAGACAAAACAACATAAGTCTTAAATTTTTGTTCTTTTGTAAATAGAATTCTTTTCAAGTTTCGAAATCAACAAAAGATTCTGAGGGCTGGATTGTGTTGAATAAGCATGAATCATATACACATATATCAATGAAATTATGTCATGCCGTGAGTCATATACACCACTGATGCGTATAATTTTGTTAACAAGAACCGAGAACGATTAGTTGCTCTTATACCGCAAATAAGATATTTATAATTGATTTATAAAAATTGTAGGAATCTCTTTTTTTTTTTGTTTCTTCCTTAATTCTAAAATTCTAATACATACAATATATAATAACTTGAAGAAATCGATAACTTTTTTATAGCGCATTTGGAAAGACTGTTTGATTATCTTAACGCAATAAAATATTCAAATATAAGAAGTTCCATAAGACAAAACTATCCTTAATACTGCGTGTACGTTTGATTAAAGAGTACAGTACAATATAAATATCAAAATTTTCTCATGTGTATAACAATCAGTTATATTTAAACATAAAAAAAAATCTGATTATAATACAAATTTTATATCTATGCATTTATTCCCGTATGTCTCAAATGATATTGTGTATATGCGTGCGTTGCTATATCCTACATTCATAATTATACGCTTTGCACGCGGCAACAGAGTTGCGTGCGCATAAAAGAAAAATATATGACTTCAATTTCACTATCGGGATTGCTATAATGTATTAAGTGCAGTGCAGTGTAAAATAATGCAAAATAATGGACAAACGTGAAGACATGTACAAAGGTAGCGATATGAAGGAATTGTCTCATATCACCTAATCAGACCTGTTGCGAAACATTGGTGAAGAGACGCGTTTGATCTAAAATACAAAGTATATTCTATAAAAGTATGTTCTATGCGTCACTTGTACTGTTCATTCAACAGACTTTCCGCAATACAGAATATTATCTTGGCAGTACCTTCATTCAGCCTTAGTAATGTAATAAACGTAGCTTTGCAAAATATGCTTGTGGGTGGAAAAGGAAGGATGTCATGTGGAATATCCCAGCTTTACATGGGCTTATCTCGTATCTATTCCTCTTTCTCTTGATCGTCGGACTTCTCCTCATTTTTATCGCCACTCTCTTCAGCACCTTCATCGCTAGTAACAGTTTTTGCCGCGCTATCTACTTCAGTTGGTTTAGAATCATCTAATGCTTTATTCTCGCTTTCTAGAGTCGTTCTTTCTGGTAAACTAAAGCAGATAAACATAGAAATCGATAATTTAACACTTTTAATAAAAAAGTAGTCTACAAGTTTTATTTTTTAATGTATTTCTCATATTAATCTGTTTGTACTATGTTAATTACCTGTCAGAGACAGCATCCGCTTCCTTCTCCGCAGAAAGCTGAAAGAGATAGATTAAAAGTGTTAGACATATGTACAGAGTACTATATAGTTACAATATAAATAGTAAAATTACAATGTAATAATATACTATAAGTTACAATATAAAATTTAATCGCAAAGTCATCAGGTTAATGAGTGCAGAAAAATTTTTATGGCACATTAAAGCAATTTTATATACAATTAATAATATTGTTAATATAAAATGATGAAGGATAGTTATTAATTTATACCATTGTATGGTAGTTTCTTTCGAAAGATGTATAATTAGTACGTATCAAAATAACTTGCTTGTGTGACACGTGTCACACAATAAATATGACTACAGTAATTGTTATTTCTATTTTGGCACTTCTGTATTCTTTCTCACAAAGAAGCAATATATATATATATATATATATATAATATATATATATATATATATATAACAAAAAATATATATATATATATATATAGAAAGAGAGAGAGAGAGAGAGAAACAAGAACAGTGTTACCTCTCGACTTGAAGTATTTCCATTCTCTTGAATTTCATTACTCTGAGATTTTGAGTCGAGAGTGATTTCCGCAGTACTGACTGCTGGTGTCACTTTCAGAAACTTTTCCAGTTCATCTATTTCGTTTGATACATCAAAGTCTTCATAATCCTGAAAAATTTAACCACTTATATAATAACTTTTAATCAATATACGAGGGTAAGTCAGGAATTATCCGCAATTTTTTCAAGTGAAACATAATTCTCACATTGCGGATAATTTCTGACTCACCTCAGTATGATTTTTCATCGCTTATTGCATACGCACAGCATACTTATTTTCAAAATTACTGTATCTAAAACATAATAAGAGTAACATGTAAATAGCAGGAAGAAATAATTACTCCGCAATAATCGTCTTCGTTAAATATTTGTGGTGGCAGTGGATACTTGTTGGACCTGGCATTACTGTTAGCTTGCATAAATTCTTTGTCTAGCTCCTTGCCTGGTTCTGTGATATCGATAATCTCATATTCCACATTTTTGCTATCTAGAATCATCAAGACACGTTGTTGTCTTTTCTTTACCTGTAACACATTTGCAAGCGATGAAACATTTTCAAAGGTTTCTCTAATTTATAGTGCAACTATTTGACACACATAAGCTTTTCTCCCACATATAAGTGCCTTGGTCACAGATGTGACTCTCTTCAGCTAATATTACAGATTTTTACTTTGAAAACGTTTGTAAACATACAGAAGCATATAAAACACATACAAATAAATTTGCATGAACAATTGATATTGGCCTAACTTATATTATTTCAGGGGAAAACTTGTAAGCAATAGAATCAGCTGATTTTTATCAGCTATCTATCATCTCTTAACACACAATAATAATTTAAGAATATTAACAATTTCTTAACAATTGTATTTATTACGATATAATTAAGGATTAAGAATAAAAAACCTATTATCGCACAGAATAAATTTATTTTGTCACATAATGCAACATTTTACTAGCATAATAAAGCTAATATACGTATGACAGAATCGACAATTGTTACTCCGACTTTATCTAAATAAACAGACCCGTCCGAGACCTGTAGTAGCTATCTGTTAACAAAATTGGTGTGACAACCGTACGCCCATCGTCGAGGAATCGACCAGCGGAACCGATTGAAAAGCGCGCAGTACGCGCGCGTCGTATTGCCCGACGATCTCGAATGACAATATCCCCGATTAATTAAGTGCTCCGGAGTTGCGAGAGCGTGCCGTTCGTATTTGTAACCTGATACAGCGACGGCGACGGCGGCGGCGGCGGCGGCGGCGACGACGGCGACGACGACGACGACCGCCTGGCGCGCGCGATGTCAGACAGGCGTCGTGGACGTCGGATATCGCGGATATCGTTGCCCGAGCGATCATCGTCGTAAGCTGGCTGCACTCACTTCCTTGTTGCCGCTGATACCCGATATGTAGATTTTCACGACCATCGTTGGTTGTGCCAGCCGGCTGCTCCCTGGGACTGGACGATGCGCACTCTCTCGCTGTACTGCGCTCCGATTAGGCGGCGCACCGGACGTACGTGCGACACAGGGACGATGAGACGGGGATCCGCGATACAACGGTAGACGACCACCAACCGGTCGCTTGTGGCGACGGTGCTCGGTGCTATTAACCGCTCACACGCTGACGCTAACGCACTAATCTAACGGGCGAGATGGACCGGCCTAAGTCCGGGCTCCGCTATCGGCCTGGCCTGGCTACGTCATATCGGACCGGCTTTCTCTCTCTCTCACTCTCTCTCCCTCTTCCTCTGTCTCTCTTTCTCGCCGCCTCAGGGATGAAATAGCGATTTTTCCATACATTACGTACATAATGTTTAGGAAAAAAATACTTCTAAAAATTCATAATTTTGCGCCATGTCAATTGTTTTGGCACTTGCAAGATATTTCTCCATTTTATGTAATATATTACAATGTTATGTAACTAATGTGTATTTTTGGAAATTTATAAAAAAAATCAATGACGTTGGGGCGTGTAATTATATAGGATCTTGATTATGTGGATTTATTCAATTAACATAATTATTATATAATTTAATATATAATATATATTTAATATATAATATGATTATTGTAAAAATTGATAATCAAGTTACAGTATTTTCTGCAATAACCATCAAGTTAAATATAAATATTATTTACAATAAATAATAGAATTGTGTTAGAAGAAATTGAAAAATATATTACATATTCCAAATATAAATCTCTTCACTATTTAAAAATTTGAACCTGCAATATTTGTACATTTTTGATTAGATAATTTATTGGTAATTTGCATTTTTGTTACTTACATGTATAATAAAAATGATTTCAGTCGAACTATGAAAATATGAATGAGACTGAAAGGAACGTTTGAGAATTGATAATGGACAATTCGGACCTAAATAAAAAAATTCGAAGAAGTTTGATTCGTATCATGTATTTATAAATCTATCTTCCAAAATGCGCTCATTCCAGTTAACTTAGACAGATGCTTGAATGAAAATAAGAAAAATAGAAATTATTCTACATTCATAACTTCAGATTGACAGAACGGTTGCGTTAATAGCAAAGGTTCGTAAGTCCATTTCGGGAATATTCGTTTGTACAGATTCATAAAAATCGTATCCTGCGATTTTAGTTGACCGTTGAAAATACATTTCATATGTCCGTGCGTGCCTACGAGAAATCATAAATACATCAAACACATACAAAAATACATGAAAAATGCTAAAAATCGTGGGAGAAAATAGAGATAAAACTACAACAGTCAAGAATAATTGATGATTTACCAAGAGGTTCTTTTATATGACCTCTACGTCCATATTTTGTCCGCAATTGGATAGGCTTGAACCATTCAATATCCTCACGATGGAAAAACATGAATCGCACAACCACAGTTTTCTTGTTCACCTTATAGGGATGTCCACTTAAAACGACACGTTTCAAAACAATTCTATTCGGATTAGCAGATAATACACTTCCGATCGCAACCAATTCCTAAAATAATTTTATCATTGAAATTTAATATGAAAATCTTGGTTTTATGCGCTGATATATATACATGTATATTAATAAAATACATACAAGCTTGCCACTTTTGTTTTCAGTATAACAAAGAGTTGGACACGGTGTAAAAGTAACTGGTGCGTACATACTCGCCACGATAGTATTATCAGGGTGAAAGTATCTCTCGTACTAAACAAAAAGATATATTTATCATGATAAAATATAAATTTGCATATGTGACATTTCTCGATTGTTGCATAAAACATGCTTCAAATGCGAAATAAAGACACTGTATCAACTCACCTTATATTTGGTACTGTTTGTATGTTGACTGAATATCGGACATGCTGTAAATCGTCTGAAACCGCATTGAAATATCAATTTTTCTTTTGATTTTATCGGCTGAGTATAATTATTGTTATGCTTTAGCACAACATTCAGGAGAGACATTTTGTGTTCGTACGGTAGTAAACCAATTACTATTAACGGTTGATTCTCTATCGTAGCAAACGCCTTGAAAGTTTCTCTGCTAACGCGAATGATATGAAGCTTTATGTACCATCCTGGCTGAAATCATAAATCGCAAGTAATTAATGTATAATTAATGGAAGATTTATGTTGAAAAAAAGAAATATTTAAATATATACATACCAAAGCGCCATCAATATCTCCGCATTCTTTATAAATACGTTTTCGTCTGCGATCGTAATCTGCAAACTCAATTATCCGAGAATAATCGGCGGGAAGATTTTCCTTTGGATCCCATGGACTGGTGCGAAATGATTCGAGGCCTCGATATTTCTGAAATCTTATTTTAGCCAATACGTCCTGAGGTGTGTCCACTTCATCCGGAAATTGCGCATCCAATTTCGCTTCTACATGTTAACAGGACAATTGTTAAAAACGTGTTAAAAGCATGGAGAAATCAATATACATGCTACAAATACAATATGTATATTTTATATTAACCGTTGAATTTTTTTATAGCTTGTTTCTCTTCAAGCATATCGATATCTTGATCGTAATGATTCTCATCCACCGGTGCTTCCGATATTGTGATAGTTTCATACTCTTCATCGTCATCCAGATCTTTACTACTGTCTGCTTCGGATCTTGCATCTTCCATGGACATATCTTCGGATTCATTCTCTGAATATGCATCGATGCTTTCTAATAAAAGAGACAGATTTTTTTCATAATAAAGTTAAATTATTTTCCTTACTTGATTTAAAAGAAGAAAAATAAGAAATTAAAAAAAAAAATACATGCAATACCTCCATCTTCGTCCGGTATCCATGCAGCTTGATACTCGGAGGTACCTTTTGGTACAATCTTTACAATTTTTTTACTTTTATTGACTGCCGCTGCTTCAGCCAATTCCTCCTCTGTGGGCCATGTTTGTTCGGCATCCATTGGATCAGGGATATGTTCACTTTCGAGAGATTCCTAAAAATTTTCATGCATATTTTAAATATATGCAGTTCTAGAGCGTTTGCTCTAAAATTTACATTAAAAATATTTAAGATTAAAATATAAATTTTAATACTATCTTGTTACTCGAAAATATTTTGCAGTTGCAGTTATTCGTTATCAATATTATAAAATAATGAAATTAGAAACCTGTTTTTCAGGATCTGCAACTTGAAAGACTGTAGTACAGTTTTTCATTTCTATCTCCATTTTGTCATCAGATAGACGTTTCTTCCGCTCAGTATGTTCAACTGGATATGGATCATCTGGCACTTCAATGCGTGACATTTGAAAGTCTCCCAAACCTGGTATATGAACCAAACTATTAACAGATAATGGTGTTGTACCTTGTAAATATCCAGTGACTGTTAAAGTTCCAAAGTCAACAGAGTCCTGGTTAAACAAAAATTGCATAGTTATTAAATTTATATACTTTACATACATAAAACATTTATATATTTTATATACATAAAAAATACTCATATAAAGTATAAAATTTAATTCAACATACATCATCACAATCAAAAGAGAATTCTTCAGCCAGAATGTGTGGCCTTTTGTCCTTGTAAAATACATTTCTTTGTTTCTGTGATCCAGCACGTCGCAACACATTCAAACAATCAGTTGATGTATCTAATTCAAACACTTTTTCTTCAGAAAGCCACTTTGAAATTATACGTTGCACAGACTGCTTATATCCTTGACGTTTCTATATTGTTTAAAACACAGATAATAATTAAATAAAAATTTAATATATACAGTACCACAAATTCTATGAAATTTACAAATTATAATAGAACAAAATTAGTTTTACACATTATTTGCTTTTCAAATTTAAGTAGGCTACTTACTTTAACATGAAGTTTTTGAATATTGTTTACTGCAACTATAGTAGAGGGTAAACCTTGAGCAAGACAAGACATAAGAATTTCCTTGCCCCAATCATCTATAACTTCTCTTTCTGTATCATTATTTTCCTCATTTGTGACAGAAATTACAAAAAGTATTGTGGTAGCAACTTTGGCTGCATCTAATGTTGCTAAAACATTACCTATTGGTGGTACAATGATGGAAAACCGCTGTTTCAATCTTGGTATGCTATATATGTAATATTGAAAGATAAGTTATTATAAAGTTTTCAATTTATATTCACTACACAAAGTTATATTTGCAACATACCCAATATGTGTGACTCCACAAGAACTAGTAGCAACGTTAGCAGTTTCATCCACATTAGTTATAACAGACATAATATTCTTTATATTTATATCACCTTGCAAAGGTATAACACAAATAAGGAAAGGTGCGGAAGAAGAGCCAGAAAGACTTCTTTTCTGTGCTAATACTTCCTCGCGTTTCTTCTTTCTCATTTGTAATAATTGATTTCTACGAGCATCCTTCTGTAGATCTTTTTTAAGACGTTTTGTTATTTTGATAACATTCTGTTTACCTATAGAGATACAGAAAAAAAAATGAAAATACATAAAATAAATACAATACCAATTTTCAATAAAATTTGGTAATTTATATTGGTGAGAACAATTTACCTTTAAAATTGTTAATAACACTTTTACTACGGTGCCTTCCAGTTTTGTGTTGTTTATTACTCTGCTTGAGCGTACCTGGTCGATGTGTTTCTTGTTTCATTGTAATTAATTAATTACAACTTTTTCAAAAAGTAACAATTACCACACGATGGATTTTACAGTCAAACACGTGTAATCATACCTGAGTTTCGCTCACACGTGAACATAACTCTATACGAAGTTATATCACTGAATTTAGGAACTATAAAGTTTGTTCTTTATTGGCTTAGTTTACACCATGGACTAAGGAATAGAGAGACGGAGCACAAGCTGTACCGGGGCAGCACGTTTACGGCATTGAGTAAAAAGAAACAGGAGGGAGCATATACTAGCCAGGACTAGGTAAATCCGCGGACGGATGTACGTCATAGCAGCCATCTTGAGCGACCACTTTTTAAAAGTGAGAGGGAATGCTCGAGCATAGCGGCAAGCGGCATACCGTACGCCGTACGCATTAATATGCAGTGTATAGTCTTTTATGTAACAGTGTATGGAAATAAACGATCAAAATGGTATACTGTAGAGCTTGTGGCATAATGGCTGGTTTATGCTTTGGTCTTGATCTTAATCTTATAGCGTTTTCGAATAAACGAGGTTTGAACGATCTAGGGTTGATCAATCACTATTTTACTATAAATGCAAGTCTTTCATTGGTGGAGAGGTTGCAATGACGTCATTAACCAATCTTGGGT